TTTAAGGATGAATTTGACAGCGACAATGTTTCAAAATTAGAATAAGGAAGCAGTGATTATTTGATTATATAGACGCTTCGCCCCTGTGTACATCTGTCACAAGTTTATGTTGACGTCCATTATTCTGACTCTGTAAACAGCGCAACTGCTTATCTCCCTTTTGATGATTTGTGTATGGTCAGTGAGTTGTGGGCGGGGTACATAATTATAGGTTACCACGGATCACATGACTCCCTCACTAGTGACTGACGATTGGTCGCTTTCAAGGACAAGCAGGCTAAACCAGATTTCGGTAGTTTCCAGAAACCTTGGCCTACACCAAAAGTGGGCATTGCCCTACCTATAGGAGAAGTTTGGTTTCATTGGTATGTATATTTGTTTGGTTATAGAAAAAACTCTCCTTGACTTTTAAAGAAACTGAACAAGGGGCAAAAACTTTACCTTCGATTTTCTCGAAACAGCATTTTTCGGGATAGCCCCCTTGTGCTTAAAAGGGACCAATTTGTCACCGACTGGTCAACTTAGGTAAAGAGTGGGCCAATGGGAGTGAAAGCGACCTACGCAACATGATCGGTACTTTTATTGGAGGGACTAACAATGACCACAAGTGATTGGCTTATCACGGCTTGTCCTCAGCAGTAGGAGCTGGACCCACGCAACATAATCAATTATTCGTTTTTTTCATTGGAGAGACTAACAATGACCACAGGTAATAGGCTTATCACGGCTTGTCTTCAGCATCAGGGGCCGATGTACCGATACAACTTATGACAAACGTTGGGTCATGTATGATATATGATTTATAACAAACGTTGGGTCATGTATGAGATATGATTTATGACAAGCGTTGGGTCATGTATGATATATGATTTATAACAAGCGTTGGGTCATGTATGATATATGATTTATAACAAACGTTGGGTCATGTATGATATATGATTTATGACAAGCGTTGGGTCATGTATGATATATGATTTATAACAAACGTTGGGTCATGTATGATATATGATTTATAACAAACGTTGGGCCATGTATGATATATGATTTATAACAAACGTTGGGTCATGTATGATATATGATTTATAACAAACGTTGGGTCATGTATGAGATATGATTTATAACAAACGTTGGGTCATGTATGAGATATAACTTATGACAAGCGTTGGGTCATGTATGATATATGATTTATAACAAGCGTTGGGTCATGTATGAGATATGATTTATGACAAGCGTTGGGTCATGTATGATATATGATTTATGACAAGCGTTGGGTCATGTATGATATATGATTTATAACAAGCGTTGGGTCATGTATGATATATGATTTATAACAAGCGTTGGGTCATGTATGATATATGATTTATGGCAAGCATCGAGTCATGAGAGATTGTTGTGGCCGTCTTAGACGGGTTCTGGGGCTATTGGTTGTTTGTTAAAATGTAGCGATAGGTTATCGCTTTATGCAGTAGGCCTACCAAAGATTCTCTATTACCTATACACGATCTTTGCGCCTACAGCTATTTTTTTTTCAACGAAAGGAACGCGTGTGTTTATAATATTATGCTGCTATGTGAACAAAGAGATCCTTTTAATTTAGCCCTTTTGGAAGTAACGTGGGTGGTTGGTGGGTGCTCTGGTGTGGTTTCCTTTTTCTTTCCTATCAAACATCTATTATCGTCCTTATCTGTCCTCTTGTTGTTGTTGTTGTTGTTGTTGTTGCCGTTGTTGTTGTTGTGTTTGTTACTCTCTTGTAACACCTCTAATCTTCGGCACTTAGATCTATATGACCTTTTTGTGTAGCAAGTGCCGTAAAACTCTTACTAAAACAAATTGGAAGTAACCAAATCGTCAGGTTTTGATGAACAGGCTTTCGCGGTATGGAAAATGACAGAAACGCCCACATTACCGGTATGTGAGTTTCAGAGAATACGTGCAGCACTTAACAGCTGATGTTCTTAATTCGAATAAACAAGCTATACAACTATACTATATGTAATGAATATCACTATCTTTGGTTCGGGTCAAGGTTTTAGAACTTAAGCAGGAAGTCGAGAGAAAAATTATTTGTTTTTAATGCAGCTAAAAAGTGCCCATTCCCATCTCACTGGAACCAGTTAGGCCTAGTACCAGACTATGGCCTTGTAAAACCTACCTTATCATTCAGTGTTAGGCTATGCACATTATATCTTATCGTGTCAGCTGCCGCGTTTTTTGGTCTGCTTGCATGTCATATAATCGTAATATATATATCGTAACTTTATTTGTTTCGGCCAGTGCTTTTGACATCCTCAATTGGTCAATTCAAGAGAGGTTAGGTTCGTACCCATCATTCTGTCTGTCTCTGATTGGGCTAAAAAGGAATATCATCTATTTTCTGGGCCATGGCGAATTCTATCGAGGATCTGGAGGGCCGGCGCCATTTTGACTACATCGTCATCGGATGTGGCGGGATTGGCAGCGGGGCGCTCTACTGGCTGGCGAAGAGAGCCGGGCATAGTAAGTGATAGATAGATAGATAGATAGATAGATAGATAGATAGATAGATAGATAGAGATAGATAGATAGATAAAGATGGCTATCTTGAATTAAATTATTATAGATGCACAGACAGACAGATAGATAGATAGATAGATAGATAGATAGATAGATAGATAGATAGATAGAGATAGATAGATAGATAAAGATGGCTATCTTGAATTAAATTATTATAGATGCACAGACAGACAGATAGATAGATAGATAGATAGATAGATAGATAGATAGATAGATAGATAGATGTACGGTCAGACATGCAAACAGAAAAACAGACAAACAGATAGATAGATAGACAGACCAAAAGACAGACAAACTGATAAATAGATAGGCAGACAGACAGACAGACGGAAAATTATTCAGTTCTATCCACGTCATCACTTTTAGCCTGTATACTATTTGGCACCCCGTGGCATGTCCCAGAAAATTAAAATGTCACACTCAACTCATGAAATAGAGAGAGAGACAGGTGGACAATTAATGTGTAACGACGCGGTGGAATCAGGCGCTCGCCATTTTTTGGGCATATGGAGTAATTGGCATCATCTAAAAACCTGTTCATTTGGCTTATTTCTTATTTACGTTTAGTTTTAGTAGAGGTTTTATGGCGCTCGCAACTGCATAAGGTCATATGAGCGCCAGATGATTAGATGTGTTACAAGACTGTACAGGGCACCCGCTAACCACCCACTTTCTTATTTAAAAAATAAATCTATGTTGAAAAGAAGTCGAAATATTTGCGGTTGAAGTATTTGAAGGAGGTCAGGAGTGCCTGGTTTCAGAGGTAAAATTAGCGAGAAAATGGCTGCCAAAGTTTGGTAACTTCCATAGCCTGAGAGTCCTTGGAAACTGAAAACTTACATTTTGTGCCCTTAATCAATGGGTTTTTGTTCAGTAAAGTCTACACGAAAAGTGTTTTTAAATTGACACAAAAGGTGTTGAGCCAAAAAAAAAGAAAGAAAGAAGAAAAGAAAGAAAAAAAGAAAAGAAAGCAGATTTTTAAAAATGTCATTATTTTTACGAGCGCCTGATTTCACCACGATGCCTCACATACATAATATACTGGTTTGTTTTTTTAATAAGTAAGGTGCAGGCAAAAAGTAGAGGCACTACTTTGGCCTGCAGAAGGGAAGGTAAGCAGAAAGACAGAGTCGGATATAATGATTATAGAAAAATGTTTCTTCAGGCTAACAAGACGACAGAATTAAAGTAGGCCTGGATCTAGGCATTGGGGACCAGCAACGGAAATGTTTTCGGTCCACGGGATTTTCGAGAGCTAACTCTGACACCGAGGGCTCTCGTGACCTAGAGGTTAAGGTGTTGGCCTCTGCTCTTATTCGAAGGTCCCGGGTTCGAATCCGGGTAGCGACCGAAAAATTTTGTTCCCTAAAATTGTCTCCTTTCACCTCCTTTCTTGCTCTCCAGCAATGTTCTGTCGTCTGCTTTCGTCTCCTCTTACTGCCCCCACCCCCTCACCTCCTTCACCCCCTCCTCTGGGCTCCTGACTCTTTCTGCAGCCTTTCTACTGCTACTCCT